CCCCCGGGGACTGCGTGGCTTCCTTAACCTACTTACTAGCCCTGGTCTCCCTGTGTCCCACTGGCCCACTGCCCTCCTGGGTCCTGTGACCCAGGCTCTGTCTGCAGCTCCCATCTGTGCTGGGGCCTCTATGGGCTGTGCCCTCCCTGACGGTGTGTTCCTCTCCTAACCGGCAGGGGAGCCGTGCTATGATCTCATGTACAGAAGAAAAGCCCTGGTACAGGGAAGGTAGTTCGCCTTTAAGGCTAGGTCTTCTGCTTCTGCATCCTGGACCTTCCACTCCAGCCCTGCTTCTTGACCTTCCCTGAGTGCAAGTGGAAGAGGCTAGTGTGCTGAGAAAGACATAGAAAGAAAGAAAACCTGTTTGGACTCAAACATTTAGGGTAACACCAGTTGGGCTGCCCTAGCAAGCAAATGAGTAGGTGCGGAGGGCAGAGCAGGGTTACAATTAGTAGTAGTGGGGTTTCAGTGGTGAAAAGGGCAGAGTCTGGGCATCTGTGTGCTAAGGGTCCTCTCCTGCCAACCCGGTACCTCTGACTCTGTGACATCTGGGTGCTGGGGAGGCAGGAGAAGCAGGAAGCTGATGGGGAGCAGGCTGGTCATCTCCGGAGTGGGGAGACACCCCCTGGCTTTGTTGGCTGGGGGAGGGGGGAAGTGGGTAACTGGTGAGAACAACTTCTTACTCCACCTCCCATCCCAGTTCTGCTACTTAGCAAAATAAGGCCTCCCAGGAGCAGAGGCCCAGGTTGGCCCCCGGGGAGGGAACAGGCAGGAGTTGCTTGGCAGAACCCCCCGCCTGGAGGGCACCTGGTGGGGGGGCTCTTACTCCCAGTTGGAGCCATAGACAGCCCCGAGTCCATGGGATGTGTTGCATGACCACAGTGGCATGTGGCTTTCTCCCGCATTGATACCTGCTGCAGGCGAGGTGAAGGTGGCCAGGCCAGCGGAGGGAGGGGCAGGGCCTGGGGCAGGGGACTGTATGGGAACAAAGCTGGGGCATCCACACCTTTGGGATCTTCTGAGTCGGCCCAACTCCAAACACTCTGTCTCCTTGCCCCCCGGGAGTGTGAGAGCTGCCGGAAGAGCCACTTGGAGTCCAGGCTCCGCGCAGCGGCAGGGGCCAGGGAAGGCATGGGTGGGCGACAGAGGAAGGAAGGGGCCCTGGAGGAGACAGTTCCATTGCCTGGCTTTCTCTGCTCTGGGGTTCAGAGCCAGAAAAGCAGACAGCATGGACTTGACCCCAGGCTCTGGGTGACACCATCTGAGGATCGTCCTCACGACTGTGCCTCAGTGAGCATACCTGACTAGTGGGGCTTGCCCTGGCCCTGTTGCTGACCTGACCCTTTCCAAGTGTGTCCCAGGAGGTCTCAGTGTCACAGACACAACAAGGCACTGAAGGAAATTCTTGCCTTCCTTCCCTGGGTGCGCTGGCAAGGAAAACAAGCAGCGGCTCCCACAGCCTGGGTTGTCTGTGCCTTATTTGGAGAGAAAAACTCCTCTAATGTAGGGGAAATTGCAAGAAACGAATGTGTTGAGTGCTTACTAACTGCCTTGCAACTTGACCGGCATGGCATCGGATTAAACTGTGACAACAGCCCAGAGATAAGCACTGTCACTGCTAAGTGATACGATGAAGGCCAAGATAGTTTCAGAAACCTGAGGTCGTGCAACTAGGGGGTGGCTCAGCCAGGATTTGTGTCCATCACACCCAGCCTCCCACAGCTCCCTCCCCACCTCAGCCCAGCCTGGCTCCGTCCTCTGTCCCTTACCTTACCTTACCTTATAGCAAACACCTGCTGCTGTCATCGAGTCAGCAAACACGGAGGGAACAGCAAACGGCCTTCTGTGCCTCTGCAGCAGGAGAGGACTGGATGGAACACAGGAGCAAGCGGGACACAGTGACACGGCCTGTGCTGAGCAGGAAGGTGGCCCCAAGAGCGGCCCCTCAGCCTCACTGCGCGGGGCGTCAGGACAGCACGCCCTGAGGAGGGAGTGGCATCTCCCGCGGGGCAGGCAGAGGAGGCTTCACAGGCAGGGATAGGCAAGTCGGTCCCAAAGGACAGAGAGGACCCCGACAGGCACTGGTGGGAGAGGGGCTCAGACCACCAGCAGGAAGAGGGCCCGTGGCTGTGAGTGTGGGGCAGGGCAGGCCGTGGGGGCATAGGGGTGCAGGTCTCAGCGGGCTGGAGCCCCCACTGACTGAGGCCCTGATAAGTTGGGGGATGTGCCCTGCAGGTGGCAGCAGGAGGTGGGCAGGGAAGGAATGTTCCCGGAAAGAAGGTGACCAGTGCTGCCATCCCTGTGCTCAAGGCCTTCCTGGCCTGCTCGTGCTCCCCTCCCTCCCCGCCCTCTCCTCCCTGCCCGCTTCCTCCCCTCTTCAGCCCTGCCCTTGTCATTCCCTCCCTGGGGCTCAGTCCCACAGGTTGGCTTTGGAGGGGGACATGGTCTCCCCAGTCTCCTGTCCTCACTGCCCCTACGATGAGTCGGAGGCCTTTTTGTCATCACTAAGGAGCTTGAAGCTCATCAGCTATCCTGCCTCCCTTCTGGGACAGTCGCAGAAGCCCCTTTGGACTCGCCCTCCACTTTAACTGCTATTGATCCAGCTCCCCAGACCTCCCCGCTCCTTCTGGTTTCCTGCCTCATGACTGGGGGGGGGGGGTTCCACCAACAGTGTCCTTGTCCCAACATAAGGCACCAGGCACAACGACCTGGGCTATCTGCATCTTCGGGGACAGCCAGGCTAGGTGACGCCACCTCTCAGGGCTCAGGAATGCCTTGGGGAGGGCTGGATTGGCTCACGTGGGGTTTACCATGGGAAAGGAGGCTCTCGTCTGGGTGAAAGGTAATGGGGGGTGGAGCCAGTCATGTCACTGGTGACAAAGGACAGGAGGAGGAGGGTGGGGGAGTGGAGTGATGGCGAGCACCAACTTGTGCTGGAGAAGTGCATGATTTAATTGCATCCTCGTGACAATAAAACTGTTGCAAATACGAGGCTGCAGCCCACAAAGTCTAGGCGAAGTCCAACCCAGGCCTGCCTGGCCCTGAAGCCCCTGCCACAGGCCAGGATCCCCACCTGCCACACGGCTCCCCATTTCCTCACTCTACACGCAACTGGAGAGGTCTTTGCAATGCATGGTACGTTCTGGGTTGTGTCCTCCCTCTGCTGGGAAAGTCACAGCATTGAGTGACAGCCCCCGAATCAGAATGGGTGTCAAAGTTTCCCCACCAAATGCCTTGTCCCTACCTCCACCTAAACAGTGCCGTCCCCCCACCTGCCCTCACAGTCTCCTCCCCACAAACAACTGTCTCACCTTCCCCGGCCTGTGGTCCTCTCCCCACTTCCACCTGGTCCAGGCTGTGCTCCTCCTCTGCTCTGTCCTTGTCCTCATTCTATCTTCACATCTTCCAGAAAGCCCTTTCTGATCTACCCGCCTCAGCTTGGCACCTGACCAGAGGAGGCGAGAAGGATATAGACTGCATTGTCATGCCTATAATCCTGGCACTCTGGGAGCCCGAGGCAGGAGGATCGCTCGAGGTCAGGAGTTTGAGACCAGCCTGAGCAAGAGCAAGGCCCCGTCTCTACTAAAAATAGAAAGAAAATTAGCTGGACAATTGAAAATTATATAGAAAAAATTAGCCAGGAATGGTGGCGCATGCCTGTAGTCCCAGCTACTTGGGAGGCTGAGGCAGAAGGATTGCTTGAGCCCAGGAGTTTGAGGTTGCTGTGAGCTAGGCTGATGCCACGGCACTGTAGCCTGGGCAACAGAGTGAGACTCTGTCTCAAAAAAAACCCCCACAAAAACCCAATTCCTTGGTTGCACTAGCCACATTTCACGTGGCAGGGGCTACCCTGTGGAGCAGTGTGGAGATAGGTTTCCATTCTCTGGTCCTAAGTGACTCCTAGCTTAGGAGCTTGGGTGCCTCCAACTAAAACAGGGGCAAAGAGTGAGGAGCAGGCTTGCGGGGAAGAAGGGAATGTTCAGTTTGGGACACTTTGAGTTTAAGGGGTCTGTAGGACCTCCAGGTAGGGATGCCCAGTAAGAAATCAGGGAGTTTCTATTCTCCCCACCCCCAATATCCTCTAAACAGGGCCTGAAATTCAACGAGAGACCCTCTCCTGGGGAATTTCAAGGGCCTCACTAAAATTCAATTTTAAATGTCTCTAGGAAAGCTGTAGAAGGCAGCTCTGTTGAAATGGGACTCGAGGGAGCTGCTGTGTGTGTCTGTGTGGATCTGTGTCGTGCCTGGCTAGGGAGGCTCGAGCAGGGAGAAGGGATGCCAGTGGGCAGAGAAGGGGTCGTGATGGCCAGGGCTGGCCTGAAGCCCATACCTGTCATCTCCTGGGGGAAGCAGGCATCTGAGGACCTCTGCCCACACCCCTGAGCCCCAGAGCTGAAAGGACTCCCAGGGACAGTCCTGTCCACATCTCCATGGGATCCCTGTCATTCATGGGACACTAGGTACGAAAGGATCACCTGCCTTTCCTAACACCTTTCTTTAGGGTCTGCTCTCAAACTCTCTCCAGATGGACAAGCCAGCCCCAGTCTCACTTGTGCTTCACTCCTGATCACACCCACGACTGCCAGAGCTCCCCTGGCTGTGAATATGCAGCCCCAGAGTCTTCTCTGACTCTCTCAAAATCCTAGATTCGGAGCTAGACTCAGACTTCAGGGTGCCAGGAGAAGCAAACTGCCCTGAGCCTCCTCCACTCCTCTCCTCCTGCTCCTGTTTCTGCTCCCTCCTTCTGGGAATGAAGGAACTCCCAGGGACATCTTCAACACATGCCTAAGGCTTAGTCTCAGGGAGACCAACGAGGTTGGGCCAGGCGGCTAGCAGGGAGGAGGCAGATGGAACGGTCTGCTGAGTGCCCCCTGCCACCAGCCCCCAGGGGCCCTACTTATCCAACTGGGAGAGGAAAAGACCTCTGACACCTGGGGCTGCTGGCCGGTGACTGTCTTCATAGCAATGCCAACAAAGGGCACAGAGAGACCCCAAGTTGGCTAAACTGTCTGGGCTTCTAGCTCGGCAGCACCTGGAATGGCCCGGGAGAGCTCCTTGCCCTCTAGGAAGGCCACAGTGCCCTGCATTTGCCTCAAGAGGGCCAGCTGCCAGGAAGCACAACCCACTCTGTCCTGGATGTGCAGCTGGGTGCCACCCTTGACCAGCACTTTGAGGATGGCTGTGTTGCCCTTGAGGGCAGACAGGTGGGCGGGTGTCCAGCACACCTTGCTGTGGGCACAGACGTCTGCAGAGCGCTCCTGAAGATTGGTGGTGCTCAGGAAGGCACCTCTCTGCACTGCCAGGTGGAGGGGTGTCCAGCCTGACTGCTTGGCAGTATTGGGGTCAGCCCCACACCCCAGCAGTGCCAACAGCGCCACCTTCCCATGGCAGGAAGCTAGGTGCACGAGTGTCCAGTCCATGCCTCCGAGAGCACCAAAGTCTGCGTGGCTTTCAGCCAGCAGGTGGATGATCTCCAGGTAGTCCTTATAAGTTGCTAGATGCACGAGCTGCTAGATGCAGGGGCATCCAGCCCTGCTGGGTGGGCAGCTTGAGCCTAGCCCGGGACCTGATTAGCATCTTGCAGATAAGGTTCTTGCCCCTGGCAGCCTCCATGTGCAGTGGGCTGTAGCCACTCTGATCAAGGGCATTGAGGGCTGCCTACTTTCAGCAGATGTCAGGTGGCCCTCACTTTGCCCTGTTTCACTGCCAGGTGCAGTGGTGTCCTCAGGTTTCCCTGCCGAGATCCAATTTAGCCCCCTGGTCTGTCAGCAGCATGGCCGGGCTGACACGACCAATGTAGGCAGCCATGGGGAGGGGGCCCTGCCCTCAGCCGCGTGCAGATTGAGGTCAGCTTGATGGGAGCTTCAAGGTGTTCTGTGTGGCCAGGTGAAGTGGCGTCCACCCCTCGTGCTCCTGAGCATCCATGTGGACCCCGTGGTCCAGGAGTAGGTGCATGGTGCTGTTGTCCCCATTCTGGGCTGCAAAATGCAGGGGGTCCCAGCCATCCTTGTCTTCCACATCGGCATGAATGCAATGAACCAAAAACACGGCCCAGGGATTTGGCTGATGATCCTGAGTGGCAATGAGGAAGGGCATTTAGCCAGATGTCTCCTGGCAGTCCATGACTACCTTGTGGGGCAGCAGCAGCCTCACCCACTCCACACTGCCCTGGGCCACCAGCAATTGGAGGGTAGTGACCTTGTTCTCATAGATGTGCAGGTCCTCATTGCTCGGGACCATGCTCTTGCTGTGGGAGAGTTGTAGCACCTGCATCTGCTGGGAGGAAGATGGGGTGGGAAGAAAAAGACCTGTGACCTGTCTAGAGGACATCTTGGCCATCCCCCTGCCTCCTGGAAGTAGCGTCCAGGAACAGAGACTAGAAGAGTGAGGACAAGGCCTTTCCTGATAGCACGGCTCCCCATGTGGTTAGGACTGTTGCTATTCGAGCTCGGCCTCCCTTGTTTTGGAGAGCTGAGACCTGCAGTTCCTCGTGCACTGATGAGGCCAAAAGATCAACGGCCCAGAAGGCCTGGGTGTCAGCCCTGATTCCCGCCTTAGCAGCTCCTAACCTCAGCCCCATTCTCTGCCCCTTTGAGCCTCCATGTATGGATCAGCAAAGGGGAGACAAACAATATTGAGCTCATTCTACCCTTGTGAGGACAAATCATGGAGGTGAGAACTTTCAGAGGAGGGTCTGGGACCAGGTAAGTGAATGCAAGTTGGAAATAAATTTGTGGTCGGAGCTGTAAGACCTAAACCCCTTGACGTCTTAAGGATTCACTGTGCCCCATCCCCCATCCCAAAGACACACATAGATTCCATTTAACTAGTCTAGGATGGGCTGTAGGCATTGCCTTTTTTGTTGTTGCTGTTCCTAATTTCCTAAGTGATTCTAGCTGCAGCCAACTTTGAGAACCACGCTCTGCCTCCCAGGTCAGGAAGGGAGAATCTTGCAAGGATACAGACCTGCAGGGGAGGCAGAGTCGGGCCCCTGAGCACATGTGCGGTTCTGGAAGACACAGCTGGGTACTGGGACAGACCCCTAAGACCCTGGATGTGTGCCAGGCCTGTGGAGGGTGGGGCTGTGGAGGATGGGGAGAGGGTGGGGCTTGATTCCAGTTGCTCTGCAGCTGTGAGTTCTCCGGCGGCACCTGCACTCACTGCTGTTTGTCAGCTCCAAGCCGGCTTCCTCTCTGACCTGGGGAGGTAGTTCTGGTCTGTGCCGTCCCCCCCCCTCCTTCCCTCTCCCCAGTGCTCCCTGTCACTCATCAGGACTCACATCCCACTCTGTCCTGGGACACCTCCTCCTTTGTCATGGCTACCCTCAGCTGTGTCTAGAGGACAACACGGAGCAGGAGACAGCCTCCAGAAGGAGGTGGCCCAGGGCCTTGCCTTCCCCTGGGGCACGTGGACTGCAGGGTGGGTCTATGTGTCCAGCCAGGAGTCCCAAGCTAACCCATGGCTGGTTCCTGTGTTAGGGTAAGGCCAGGACAGCCGAGGAATGACGTTGGCGCCCACAGTGTGAATCCTCCCTCTGCAGGGCAGGGCTGGGCTTGATCCCACATGTGAGCAGAGACATGTCCTTCCCCGGGGCTCTGAGCTACAGCCACCACTAGCCCTTAGAGCACCTTTGTGCAAGCGAGGAGAAGAAGTCCCCTCTGGATGGAGGGGGCCCGAGCTGGGCAGCCTGGCTTGGCTTTCAGTCCCCACTTGCCCCCTCAGCCAGGCAGGCTTGTGAAGGACACGGCCCATGCATGAATATTCAGTGTCCTGCCAGAGACCATGGCAGTCCACGCACGGGCCCCAGGGTAGCGCGACAGGACAGCAAGGCATGCCCAGTCCACACACTCACATCCGAGGCTGGAACAGCCCTGGCTTGCAGGACACCTTCCTGGCCAGGGCCACACTCTCTGGGCCACCACAGGACTCTGCACTGCAGCAGTGACGGCACCAACTCTGTCTTGACTGTGATGTCCCCTCCACGAGGGACAGAGAAAGAGCACAAGGAGCAACAGGCTGGCCACAGACCTTTCCCTGTTTTAGATACCCTAACATTTCCTGTGACACCCCCCCCCCCAGATCCATTCCTGGGTTCCTGTATATCCATGCATGCACACAAGGAGGCAGGAAACTTGGGTCCCAGTGGGTCACTTTGGCAAGTCACCCACACTGAGTTATCAGAGTCCATTTGCACAGAACCAGGGGGCAGGGCTAGGCGATCTCCAAGATGCTCCCACTTACCCACACGTGTGCAGTTTCACAGTCCCTAAAGGACGGGATAACCTCACTGTCCATTCCAGCCTGTGATCTCATAGTCCGGAAACATTTCACAAATGAGGACACTGTATGCCTGAAAGAACCAGGGTTGGCTGGAGAACTCTGTGATAAGGCTAGGCCCAGACAGTGTGACTTATGCCTCTGGCAATGAGGATTTTCTATTCTACCCCCACAGAGACGCACATGATGCACACAGAGCTCCGACCCCTGCCCTCAGCTACTCCCGGGCTCCCGGTGCTGTCCTCCCAGCCCTGGGATGCAGATTCTACCCTAGAAAGTCCCTCCAGGCCCTAGTGCTGCAGGCGTCTTTCCGCATAGCTCCCAGGAGTGACCTGGGGCCACTCATCTCCCCCCCGGCCCTACCCAGCTCCCAGTCCCTGTGCAGGTCAAGCTGGTTGGGCACCTGCCAAGCACGGCCCCTTCCTGGGATCCTGGTCCTAGCAGCATCCCATCAGGTCCACCATCTGCTGGGCCTCACCTGGCCACAGGTTGGAGACTGACTGCAGGGAGGGCTGCATGCCTGTGGCCACTTGGCTAATGACAGTCATCATGGGAACCCTGCAAGAGGAGGCCCATGCCGTGTGGGTGGGGTGCTGGGAGACAGGACAGAGACTCTGAGGACCGGGCAGGGTGTGCATGCAGCAGAGTTCCATGTGTGCATGGGGAGTGAACAGCTAGACTAACGACCAACTTGAGGTTCAGATTTGAGCAGCCGGGTCTCTCTGGTCCAGCTGTAGTGACCTCCCAGGCCAAGACTGGGCAGGACCCCACACTGCAGGGCTGTGCTGCCCAAAGGCTGCCAGGTGGACAGACAGGCCTAGGTAAAGCTCTGACATCCCACGTTGCAAGGTTACCCAAGTCGCCTGGGGTCCATTTACCTGGCACCTAGGCAGGGCTGGAGGCTGGGGAAGGCAGGAAGGGGTGCTCTGAAAGCGAGGGGGTTAGAGCCATGCAACATGGGCTGGGCACACTTTGTCTTTCCTTTCACTAGGACGTGAGTGGAAGGAGGGCAAAGAAAAGAATCTTGAAGAGAATAGGGTCCCCACACAAGCCTGCCTCTTGTGCTCCCTCTCTAACCCCAGCCCTCCCCTGGCCCCTCCCAGCACCCCATCGAGGGGCTTGCCCTGCCCCCCACACAGCCCACCGCAGCTACCTGCTACCTGAGTGTGGTTTCTTCTGAGTGAGGAGCCCCCAGATGACAATCCTGAAGCTGTGATGGGGACATGGGGAAGTGCTCCGAGTGACTTGGTGCAATATCCATGGTCACCCCAGGCAGGGGGCCCTACAGCCCACACAATCCCGGACAAGCCTCTCCAGCCAGAGTCCTCCCCAGCCTTCTCCTCCCACCGGGGTAGGGGGGACCAGACTGCATCCCTGTCCTGCCCTGCCCACTGGCCATGGGGGCCAGGCAGGGTGGTGGCTGAGAGCTGCCTCCTGGGTGTGTGGCACCAAATGCCCCCCCATACCTGCACACATCGGATTTGGGACCTGGGGCCTTGCTGCTCTCCAGGGGTGATGTAGCTGAGCGTGCCCTGCAGGGCCGACCTCCAGATGTACTGCATCCACTTGGATGGGCCAAAGTCTGAAATCTGGAAGAAAGCCAGTGTAGGGGATAGGGTCGTAATAGAGTCTTGCGTCCAGAAAATTGCTTGGGTTCCTCACCCCTCCTGCGATCTCCCCATCCCAGTATCATGTAGTGGTGTCCTACTGCTCCACCACTTACTACTGGACAAGTTATTTATGATCTGGGACAAGTTACTTACCATCTCGGAGGCTCAGTTTCCTTACCTGTAAAATGGAAATAATATGACTACTTGACCACAGTGCTGTTATGAGCATTAAATGAGGTAACATACAAAAAAGCACTTAGAACAGTGCCTGGTGTGCAGCTAGCACTTGGCAGGTGTTGCCATTATCCAGAGAGACTATGGGTAGAGTTGCCATCCTCCGTGAGATTCTGCTCATCTCACCTCCAGGGTTGGGCCCTGAAACATACATGTACATTTATTCCCCCTTTGCTTCCATCCATTAAGTCATCACTGGCCAACTGGCCATTCACTGTGGGTCAACTAGGCTGTGGGCTGAAGATCAAACAGCAGATAAGACAAACGAGATGCCCCCCCACACTCTGTACCTTCATAGGTGCCTATTCAAACAGGGGGTACAGCCACAAGTAATTATATCTTTGCAATTGGGGTTAGCGATGTGAAGAAACAGAGGCACAGTGAGGGTATACAACAGGGGCCTGTTGGATGAATCAGGGAAGACCTCCCTGAGGAGGTGATGTTTAAGCTGAGAGCTGAAAGATGAGAAGGTCTTTGCTAGAGAAAGAGAGAAGAGTAGGGGAACAGAATATGCAAAGGTCCTGGGGCAGAGGAGAGTATGGCATGTTTTAGGAACTGAAAAAAATGTCCATTATGACCCTTCTTAGGGATTGCTTCATTTACACACATCCCCACGCAAAGCATGGAATGGGAGGGATAGGTATTTTTCTGCCTATTTTAGAAATGGAAAACTGAGGCCCAAAGAGGGTTATTACAAACACCCTGGTATCCAGCCTCATGCACTGAATTTCACTGCTTAGCCATCTCTGTTCCGGGTGTGATCCCTGCTCTCATAATTTGTTCATGAAGCAAACTGCTTAGACCTCTTGCCGGGCCAATCAGGCAGGTAAATAATTCTGCTCATCGGAGGAGACCGTAGAGTGAACGGGGGTGAGAGGATTGGCCTGGGCTCCTACCTTGACATGCATGTTGCTGTCTAAGAGGATGCTGCCCGGCTTGAAATCCAGGTCGAGCAGAGGTGGCTTAACGTTGTGCAGGAAGTGCATGGCCAAGCTGGTCTCGGGGATGATACAGAACCTGATCTGCCAGCAGAGACCATGGGTGGCAGCACCTTCTCCAGGGAGCCGTTGGCACCAAACCCCATGGCAATGCCCAGGGGCTGCTTGCACACCCTATGCATAGACATGATGTGCTGAAACTTGACCTTGCCCATTTTGGCCACTTCTTCAATGAGGCAATTCACATGAGAGCTATGGGGAGAGGGGAGCAAGAGATGGAAGAGAATGAGCCATTAATTCCTAAGGCAACCAGCAGAACGCACGAACTAGGCACGATGCCAGGCTGCGGGGACCCAGAGAAGCCTGAGAGCTTACAAGGTAGTGGAGGAGGACAGAGAGACCTGAAGTGAAGCCCAGCAGGTAGCACAGATGAAGCCTCAGCAGACAAGGCAGGCAGTGAGGCAGTTTGCAGGTGTGAGAGCCAGTCCACTCTGCAGCGGTGGCCATAGACAGCACCTGTCGCAGCCTGACGTTGACCCCGGCCACTTGTTTCTACGTGTATCTCCTGCAGTAGATGTCAAGCCCCCGGAGATTAATGTTATTCCTCATGTTTCTGGTTTAAAATATCATTTATTGCCATTTTAATGATGAAAGTAATGCATACACCTTGTAGAAAATCTAGGGATATAGAAAGCTATGAGAAAGAAAAGTAAATCATCAGCAATCCAACCTGCCAGGGTTGGCCTCTGTTGATATTTTAGCATATTCTTCTATGATACGTTTTCAAGGCCTCTCTCTCCCTTTCTCCCTCCCTTTCGCTCCTTCCCCCGCCCCGTCTGGATCACACAGTGGATGGAGCGTGAGCACCTCCCCACACGGCGGTTCTCCTGAAGCTCGGTTGTTAATGCACAGTGTTCCATTTTGCAGATCAACTATAATTATTCGTCTTTGTACTCCCCAGAGCACACGGCCCTGCGCTGCACAATACAACTTTGTTCAACTGCACCAAAGTTGAGACTTAAGGGACGTTCTTACAAAAATAAGCATTTGCAAACCTTCTCACTCATTTCACTGTATGTGCCCACAGTGTAAATTGTACATATGCAAATTGTCATAGATTGTTATGGGGTGGCGGGTATGGGGATTGAGGAGAAATGACATTTTTGAAAGGGCGATATTTGCAATTTTTTGATGGCGCTGCAGTCCCCTCCCTGGGAAGCCAACCAGAGAGCCTCGACCTGCAGGAAAACTACCTGCTCTCCCTGGCACCTGGACAGGCTGGCTAGTCGAGGTTTCTGCTGTTCTCATCTTTACTTCTCTACTGTGCCAGAGATCTCCACTTCTGTGATATTTTTGATCTGTCTGAAAACTCATCTGTCCTGAAATGGAAAAAGCACTAGATCTGGGTTCACACCACCCAGATTTCAAATCCTGGTTTCACCGCTTGTTATCTGCACGACCTTGAGCAAGTGAATTCTCTGAGCCTCAGTTTCTAAACTGTAAAATGGGAATATTAATAAGCTGTGTCTAGGGAATTTGCATGGTGACCATAAAGAACATGACAAGACTGCATCCAAGTAAGAGGCCAATAGGAGATGCCCCTTCCCCGGGCTCTCTAGTTGATGGCCCCAGGGCCTTGGGTGAGGACATGGTTATGATGCTGAGATTTAACATCCCAAGTGCCTCCTTCATGGCTGTAAGAGGGACAGGCACACGGCTTAGTGCATGCAAATCCAGTGGGAATGAGCCTGGAGCCCATCTCAGTGGGAAGAAAGAGATGAGTGGACATGGTGGGAAAGAAGTAGAAAGAGAAAAAGGGAGGCATATCAAAGTGTGGCCTCCGTGCAAAAATAAGGACAGAGATCGCAAAACTCCAGACTTGGCCTTCCAGCCACCAGGATAGGCTGTGAAGCCAGCACGCTGGGCAGACTCCACCCACCAGGCCTCCTCGGCCCCCACCGGCTGCTCAGGAGCCACCCGGCTGGCCATGTGGATAGAGAACGTGGTTCCCTGCAGGTCACTGAACAAAGTGCCACAGGCTCTTAGCAAGCCCAGCCCTGCCCTGAGCCTTCGGGGTGGGCAGAAGGCTCGCAGAGGGCGGTCAAGAGCAGTCATTGCCCACCAGGACACCCAGAGGGAAGGAGGCCCAGAAAGAAAAAGGCAGGACAAGTTCGGAAGGTCCAGTGGGACAAAGGCATCTTTGGAGGGTAGTTCCCGCTCACCCTTGACCTCCGCAAACTGGTATTGGGTGCCAACTCTATTTCAGGTAGGGAGGCAAGCACATTTGGTTGGACCTGGGAAGCTCAGGCTACTGGGAGACAATCCTCAGCCCAGTCTCAGTCCACCCTCCCTTGAAAGCTCCCTGAGCCAAAACCTTGCCGGCCTCAGTTTCTCCTCTGTGAAAGGGGCAGGGCGGGTACATGGCTTCAGGGAGGAGGTGGTGCAGCACTCCACTGTGCAGTAGGACCTGCATCGCTTGTGTCGTGCCTAGATCACATGGCAGTCGTCGCAGGTGGAGATGCTGAGCCTCCCGCCCGCCCTTCCCCGTGACTCCCGCCAGGGCTGCAGCATGGGTGGTTCCAGGAGCCTAGGCTTCCAGCTCCTCAGGTCCCGGAAGGGTGGGGATGGCTAGGGGAACCTGCCCTCCCTCCTCTTCACCCTGCACTGGTTAGGGGAGCCGGGGCCTGAGCCCTGAGACCACAGCAGGGAAGGAGGGCCCTGCGAGGAGGGCTGTGTCCATCCTCAGTCTCAGCCTTGGGTCTCCCCACAGCTTTCACCCTGCAGCGAGGGAGCCGTGCTGGGAAAGGAAGTGTCCTGACGCTGCAAGCAGAAGTGCAGCCAGAGAAGTTGGCTCCACTGTATTTAGAGGCGCAGTTGAAGCAGGAGTCCATTTCTGCATCCTGCAACTCCCATGTCCCAGGGCTTACGAGGGTTCAGGGCCCTTCTGGGGTCTGGACCCCTGCCCCTCCCCAACAAGGAAGGGGTTGGGGTTCAAAAATTCCAATGCGGGATTTTCTGCTCTGAATCTGTTGCGGTCTGACTATTTTAATGCTTCCTGTTGTTATTGTTGGTTTTTGTTTGTTTGTTACCAGTCTTAGTTGCTAATGTCACCAAAGAGGGTCAGCAGAGGATAGAGAGGCTGGGGGCTGGGGCTCCCTGCAGGGGGCTCCTCTCAGGGCACTGCTCCTGGCCCAAGCTCAGAGGGGATGGACACCCAGCCTGGGGGTGGGCCATGGGGGAGGTGGGGCTCCTTGGCCCAGTTACTAGGGGTAGGCTAGAAGGCAGGGAAGGCTGAGGCACCGTGACCAGAGATGTCTACAGGCAGTGTTGGGGCTGTTGTAGAATCTTGTAAGGGCTCAGCCAGAGACTTGGGCAAAAGGGGGACGAAAACATCCCTTTATAGGAGGCAAACCTGGCTGTGTGGACAGACAGGGAAGCTGTCCCGGTGGGTAAGTCAGGTCGTGACGGCAGGGGGAGGGACGGTCTCCCAGGGACGCGAGAAGTGGCAGCACATTGGAGGCGATCCCTTCCTATTCCTTCTACCTCGCGCTGCTCTTTCCCTGCCCTGGCACCCACGGCAGCCAGTGCCTCAGTCTACCTGGGGAATGCAGGTGAGAAGAGAGGAAGGCCTGCCAGTGTTGAGCCTGGAAGTTCCTGCTGGCAGCTTCTCTTTGGGCCAATGGGATTGCTCCTCTCACCTCAGAGACCCTCAGAGCAGGGAAACATTATCAGTACTTGAGCAG